TGGATGGTATTGTAAACAGAAGTGAATTATATGTTATGCAGCTTTATTCATAAAAGACAAAAAGTCTAAACAATTCCCATGACTGTCAAGAGGAGAAATGCAGAAGGAGGCTTGGTGGCACAGTGGTTAGGTGCCTAGCCACTACCTGGAACGTTGGTCACGAGGGAAAGACCTGGCCAAGTGCTCTCAGAGATGACAACCCAGAACACCTTCCAGGACAGTTCTACTCGGCGACCTGGGGCTGCCAGGAGTCAACGTTGACTCAAAGGCACCAAACCAGAGCAAAGTTTATCCGCCCAGTGGGATGTTCTTCAGCCATGAAAAGAAACGATGTGCTACTATACGCTATGAGGGAGCTCTGGTGGCCTGGTTGTAAGCCCTGCTGCAATCCCGAAGCACGTGGTTCGAGGCCACCAGCTCCCCTGCAGAAGGATGGGCAATCTCTTCCCAAACAATTAACTGCTTCTGAAAACCCACAGGAGGGTCAGTTAGCTATGGGTTGATTCCGACTTGAAGGCAAAAAACTTTATGTGTTACAGGGGAGCTCTGGTGGCCTCCTGGTAAGAAGCTGCACTGCAATCCCAAAGGCACATGGTTTGGCTTCTCCGTGAGAGAAGGATGGGCAATCTCCTCTCGTGCGATTAAACTGCCTCTGAAAACCTGCTGGAGAGTCAGCTATGGGTCGGTTCCAACTCGATGGCACACAACAAAAACAATATATGCTGCAATATGGATGTACCTTAAAAATAGCAAGCTAAAGGGAAAGAAAAAACCCGCAGCTGTGACTGCACCGTGCTTCGGAGCAGAATCAAGCTCCTCAGGGTTTCCTGGCCGCAGACCCTCAGGCCTTTCTTCATAGATTTTACGGGGTAGATTCATTCAGGTCAGAGCAAACTGTTTGCATCATCCAGGAACCGAAGTGAAAAAAGCCAGATGGAAAGGGCACATACCATACAATTCTACTTTTAAAAAAATTGTTCCGAACAGACACTTGAAAGAGACAAAAACTAGATTAACGGTTGCCAGGGGACATGGAGGGACAACTGGAAACAGCCTGTGAGAAGCTCACACTTTCTGTTTGAGGAGAATCAGACGGATGTTCTAGAATTGGTGGTGATGGCTGCACAGCATTGTAAATATACTAAAAGTCACTGAATTGTATCCTTTGGAAAGGTCAGTTTTACTTTATGTGAACTTCAGCTCCATTTCTCACAAAGTGACTTCTTTGCTATCAAGTTCTTTTTCTCTGTAAAAATCAAATACTAACATGATTCTGAGTCTGCAGACCTTCTCCCCTGTAGGCCCAGAAGGTTCTGCATGGGGGCTGGCTTCAGCTAGAGGTGGGTGGGTGGCATTAGCCCTGATGTCATCACGCCTCTGCAGGCAGCATATCCATGGTGACGGGCCACACGAGTGAGCAGCATTCCCTGCTTCCGTCTGATTTGTTTGATAAAAATGGTATTTGTGTGGGGAGGTCTGGAGAGCCTCTGCTAGCCTGCAGGTGGAGGGAAGGTACCCAACTGTGGTCACCATGCCAGGAGCCACACGGGTGCCTCTGGCTCAGCAAAGAATTTCTGGGGACCAGTGCTTTTGCAGCTTGGTGTCAGTGAGGTGGGCCCTGGGTGACCTCTGAAGGGGCCACACCATCCCAATAGAAAGAGACGAAAGGTTCCTTTCTGTTCAATTAGCTTCTTTTCAAGGATCACAGCCCAGCTAGCAGGCGGAAAATTCCACACTCTAATGAAACAAAAGTGAGCCAGAAACGAGGGCAGATAAAGGGCACAAGGCAAGGCTTTCTCTCGGGGCACAGAAGTGGGCACTAACTCCCCAAAAGGCCGGCTCATTCACAATCTGCTTATGTATGTCAGAGAGAAGGAAGGATGTCTATTTCGGTATTTCCCACGGTGGAGGAGGGGGGCATGCTGTGGGTGTGAGAGAACAAATGGACATGGCATGAAAAGTCACTGAAGCACATGATGAGAAAGTCACTCTTTTCCACAAGCACCCCTGGTTCTATCAAGGAGGAAGCCTCTAGTCTTTGGGGCTGCACATTTAACATCTCTGACATTTTATAACAAAGAGAAAGGAGTCTGAGAATTCTCTGTAGGTAACAGTGTCTAGGCTAAACTGATATTATGTTTAATGTCATTGTGTTTATTTTTACTTTTTGTTCATTTACTATTTATGGCGTAAGTGGCCAGTTTTAGGAGTGCTGGTGGCCTAGTGGCAAGAAGTTGTGCTGCAATCCTGAATTCGTGCAGTTCAAGGTTACCAGTTGCTCTGCTGGAGAAGAATGGGCAATCTTCTCCCATGTTAGTAACTGTCTTTGAAAACCCATTGGAAGGTCAACTATGGGTCAGTTCCAACCCTACAATACACAACAAAAACATGGCCTATTTATCTGGTAGGGTGAGGAAGAAAGCGTTCTTTTACAATAAATTTAAATAGTGATTTTAGGTTGGTTTGCTTGCTTTAAAAAAAAGTTTGTTAATCCTGTTGTTACGTGTTGTGGACTTTGAACTGACTCGTAGCTGCCCCGTCAGCAGGTTTGCAGAGGAAGTAAACTGCATGAGAAGAGACTGCCCTTCTTTTTCTCTCAGGGCAGCTGGTAGATTCAAATCAGGTCACTTTGGGTTAGCAGTGCAACTCCTTACCACCAGGACACAAGGCCATAGAAACACACTTCACAAAACAAGACATACAGATGGCTAACACATCATTAGTTATTATAGCTCATTGCCACAGAGCTGGACTTGATTCATCGCTGACCTTCACACTGGTGTTTAGAAGCTATAAATCACACCAATGGAGACCGCCCATAGAAAAGCTGGTGGATTAGAATTCCCTGCTTTACCAACAAGGCCACTAGAGCTCAAATAAGGAGATTCCAATCAAAAGAACAACGAGCTATCACCACATTCCAGCAACAGCAAAGTTTGATACACTAACAAACAATAAATGCTGACCTTAAAGGTGTGGAGAGATTGGAACTAATACACTGCTTGTGGGAATGTGAAATGGGGCAACCACTATGGAAAGCAGTTCAATGCTTCCTTAGAAATATAATTTGATCCAGTAATCTCATTACTAGGTATATCAGATCTATGCACACCTATGTTCATTGTGGCATTATTTAGAATGACAAAGAGAAAGAAACAACCTAAGAGTCCATCAATGGAAGAATGGCTAAAGAAACAATGGTATATTCATATAATGGAGTACTATGCATCACTTCAAAAAATGACCAAGAATCTGTGAAACACTGTACAACATGTTGTTGTTGTTGTGTACCATCAAGTCAGAACAAACACATAGGTAACCCTCCAGTGGGTTTTCAGAGGCAATAATTGCACAGGAGGAGTGAAAAGGAGTTTTACGTTTCTGATTAGGTGATACACAACAACAACAGGTATACTGTTATATGCAAGTTGAGTTGTTGTGTATGTGTGTTTTTTCTAAGGAAAACAAAAAATCCAATTTCTCCCCTCTTCTGCTCCAATGCAGTGTTCATTATTTATGCCCTCTTTCCTTAGTTTCTCCCCAATTCCCAATGCCAGTCCTGTTTTATAACAGTGACATTATGCAGTATTTGCCCTTTTGTGCTGAGATATTTCATCCAGCATGTTACCCATTTTGTATACCATTTTATGAGTCTCTTTGTTTTTCAGTGCTGCATAGTATTCTATTTCTCTATCTGTTCATTTGTTGATGGGTCCTTTGTTTGCTTCCATCTCTTTGCTATTGTGAATAAGGCAGCAATAAACATGGGTGTGAATAAAAAACAAAACAAAATTGGTTGGTTTTCTTTTAACTACCTATGTTGCTATTATTAAAGGCCATCTAGTTGAAACTACCTCATAGATGACCCTCTTGTGGGTTTTCAGAGGCTGTAAATCACATGGGAGGAGACCTCCCATCTGTCTCCAATGGAGCGGCTGGTGGATTTGAACCGTTTGCCTTTGGGGTGGGAGCACAACTCCTTACCTCTAGGCCATAAGAGCTCTCCTACTTTAAAAATTTAAAATAAGTATTAAAAATGTTAAAAATAGGAATACTTTTATGAATAAGAATAAATTTCTAATGAAACAATACAAAATTGTATATTCCTTTTGATGCTGTCAGTAACATCACACCCAGTGATGCTTCTGCTTGGGGCTTGGTTGTTTTGATTCAAGGGTTGAAAAGCATCTCATCAAAAGTCTCTGGGAGTCCTCTCATCTCAATCAGGATAGTAGGTCTGGTTCATGTCTTTAGGGACGTGAGGTCCTGGTTCACATTTTCCTCACATTCTATCAGAGTCTACCTATTGTGGCTATGGTCTGAGTGATCAGTGGTGGGTGCTGGGCACCATCTAGTTCTCCTGGTCTCAGGGTAGAAGTGGCCATGGTTTGTCTAGACCGTTGCTCCTTAGACGAGTTCCTTCAGTCTTTGGTTTCCTCCTTAGTCTTTTGCTCAGAGTGAATAGAGGCAAATAATTGTATCTTAGACACCATTCACAAGCTTTAAGACCCAAGACAGTACTTACCAAATTAAGATTCAGACTTTATAAGCTATATTATGCCAATTTACAGAGACATCCCCAAAGTCTTTGGCCGTAATCCTTCAAATACAGAAATCCAATCCTACAATGTGTCCAATTCTTTTTTCTTTTTTTTTAAAGTGCACACTGCTGTACCTGTAAGGTTCTCACTAGGTCAGCATCCAATGACAGGAAATATCAAAGGATTGATGAACATACAATCCTTGCTAAAGATCATATCAGTGACTGGGGGTCTGGGTGGCCAAGAGATAAAGGCACCATAAAAGTCCTGAGAATCTACCTGGACAGAAACTATCATCACCAATTCTTTAAGACTACTTCCAAAATGAAAAAAAGTATGAGCATCTTTCAACTGTTCTGCAAGACTGAATTCTTTCATGATAAAATGCTGAACAACAAAGCTGAGAAGACACCATTACAAGACTCTTAAAAAGTCCAATTATAAAATGAATTAGCTTACCAGTAATAGATTCTTATCAGCGCTGAAGGCCACAGGAGAAATGAGGCTACGAAGGCCAGGATGGGGATGGCCAGGGTGCCTCCGGCAATCACAAACATGTTAACCACATCGAGATCCATCTTCCTCTTGACAGCTGCAGCACTACAGGGGGTGAAGACAATGAGAACATTGAAACTCTGGCATCAAGAGGAACAAGGAGGAAGCAAAGAGAAAAGGGAAGTGCAGAACCTTCAATGGGGATGAAGATAGAGAGGAAACAAAAGCTTAAAAATATTAGACATCCTGATTGGTGGTGATGCTCTTACATCAATGAAGGGCAGAATAGCCCGGGTCCTTTGTCGATCTTAACTTGATGCCTGGGTTGTGGCCAAAGCTGTTTCACAGCTAGGGCACATAAAACATGATAAAATACACGGAAAAATAGAGGAGTTCTATGCATTAAAATGCTAACATTTCCGATTTGAAGGTACACACACACACACACACAAATAATAATTTTAAAAATCCACATAAAATGCTAACATTTGTCCTTGTGTCGAAGCATACTTCCATTTAATGATTTTACTTCCTTGTTAAAGTTTCTGCACTAACAAGCATTACTTCTGTAAGTAGGAGAAAAACCAAAATAATACCGAATAAAATATTGCTTTGATAACAATTAAAAAAGTATTAGACATGACAACTAAATGCAGGAAGTGATCTCTGTATGGGGTCCAGATTAAAAGATGGGCGGGGTGTGTGTATATGTGTGTGTGGGAGGCTCTAAAGGATATGTCTGAGACAACTAGGGAAATCAGAACAAAAACAAGACATCACAATACTGTATCAGTGATATATTCTGTGATGATGAAATCATGGTTATGTAAGAGAGAACGCCCACGTTCTTACGAAACGTGAAATGAAGTATTTGGGAATTAAGTGGAATGATACCTGCCACTGACTTTTAGAAGTTACAGGAGAGAAACTGTATGGCGTGTGTCTCTGTGTATGTGTCAGGCATGCGTGCACAGGGGCATGTTGATGCGAAGAGAGAAAAGAGAGACAAAGCTGAAACAAGTAGAAATACAGAGCCACGTTAACTGCTTGCAAATCCATTTGAAGGATACACCACCTGCCTCCTTCCCCCTTCTGCAAAGGGCTCAATTCTAAGTATTGTAGGCTTTGTGGCCCATAGAGTTTGTTTCAATTACTCAGTTTGCTATTGAAGTGAGGAATCTGTCATAGACAATCTGTAAGTCTGTAAGGCAGTTGCCACCTGGACAACACAGATCTGACCGTCTGACCTGCTCAGGTCCACCTGTACACAGAGTTCTGTTCCTGTTGCTATCACACTGAGCTCAGGGCTTGCGAGCCACCACATATAGCTCCCTATGATGCCAATCAGCTCAGTGTGTGTGGGTCAGATGGCTCTTTCCAGTTACAAACATGTTCCCACTGGCAGTCCCAGGTCCACAGAGAAGAAAGCTGCTCCGTGCTGGGGGCATAAATACTGCCTTAGTTTCTGACTCAACTGCCCTCACAGTTTCTCAGTCACTGGGAGAGCGTTTCCTAGCACAGAGAACTCACTGGCCTGCTTTTCTTTGCAGAACCAAGAGCTTTGTCCCTTGCTCCCCAAGGGAAGCAACAATCATGCCTGTTCTTTCTCAGTGCACGGCACACAGAGAAGGGGTAACATGATTCATGAAAAGCAAAGTCACAAAAGGGACCTCATCTGGTTTACTGGCTTAGGGACAACTGTGACTCCTAATCACAACACTTTGCTCTGTTCCAGTCATGACCAGATTCCCCTGAGGAGTCACCTATTTACTGCAGGGGACAATCTCCCCTGCTGAGAGGTCTCTTTGTCCAGGGGTGAGCAAAGTAATCAAGAGTGAAAACGGTTTGTATGAATCTGTTTGAACAAGGTTAGTAATGAACAACTTGCTGACAATGAGAACTATGGCTTTGAGAGGACTTACCCCCAGCACACCAAGACGGCTGAGGGCTGCGTGAATTCTGATTCTCTAGCTGCAGGGAGTTAAGTACAGGGCATTCCTTTGGAGGGAGAACAGTTTTGTGCCCAGAGCCACCTAAGTCATGGACTGATGCTGCAGGTGGAGGCCCCAAACATCAGGTGTCTTCATGACAGAGAAACCTCACTGCTCTGTCAGTGCTTGCCATGCGCGTCCATTTCCTCCAACTCTGTCCTCCACTTATGGCAGGATAAACAGTGAAGTGCTTTTGCAGAGCATGACCGATGAAATGATAGCAAGTCTTGGACTTATTACAGAGAACCTTGCATGCTTCTCCTGGCAAGGTCAAAGAAAGCCAGGCTCTGGTTGAAGAAACCGCATGCTTTCTGAGCTTTCTACGAACTAGACAAGAGTGGGCGGTCACTCTCATCACATCCACGACCTGGATTGTACAAAGGATTTAAGTTTTCCTTTGAAAAGGCAGCTCTCCTGTGCCTGCTGATGTTTGCTAGTGGAATGTTGCCATTATGTGCCATCCAGTCTCCTGTGACTCGTAGTGACCCTGAGCACAATAGCTCTGAACCCTGCCCTATCCTGAGCCTGTCTCACTGTCTCTGGCACAGCTACCCCCAATTGCCACAGTTATCATGTCAATCCATCTCAGCCAGGGTCTTCCTCTCTCATGCCATCCATCCACCCTTCCAAGCATGATGTCCTTCTCCAAGGACCAGTCCTCCTGGCCACATGTCCACAGTATGTGAGATGGAGCTTCAAAATCCTTGCCTCCAAGAAGAAACTTGGTTTCATTTTAGGGACCTAAATCTCTGGTGTGATTTATAGCCTCTGAAAACCTGTTGAAGGGTCATCTATGAGTCGGTTCTGACACTACAGCCATGATTTGACTTTTGATTTATGTGCTTGAGTAAACCAGAGCCATGTGAACCATACACCAACAATGACTAAAGAATCATCACGGGGAGAGGAGGCACAGTGCAGTTTCCCAAAGCTGAGACCTGTATGGCTAAAGATTTATGTCGGAATTCTAACTCCTATACCTGAGGAAGGGAGCTCAGGTGGCTTAGTGGTCACAGTTGAGCTGCCAACTCAAAGGGACACCAGTCTGAAGCCACCAGTTGCTCCATGAGAGAAAGATGCGCAGTCTCCTATGCAATTTACAGCCTCTGAAAACCTCCTGGAGGATCAGCTATGAGTCAGTTCCAACTTGATGGTGCATAACAACAACAATTTGTGCAACATTTGGGAATAGGGTTGTTCTGTTAATACAACTCTTACTCTTAACTCTTGTGTTAAAACTGCAAAAACTCATTACCAACTTATAACAGCCTCTCCACTAAGGTTCCAAGGCTGTAAATGACCCACCATCTCTCCTGAGCAGAGAATGGCCCACCTTTCTCATGTGGAGTTGCTGGCAGCTGTGAAATACCAGAGAGTCTGGGCCTGTGGGTTAGCAGTGCCAGCTTCCTGAGAACCTCACACCAGCTCTACCAGTGCCGGGTGTCTAAAATGGAATTACTTCTGAGTTATAAAAATAGAGTCGGTTAGGCAGGGGCACAAATAAGGAACAGAGAGATGCTGCATGGAGAGCATCATGGACCAAGAAATGCTAGGACTACAGAAACTGATAAAAGGACTCGTCACCAGAGCAACACAGAGAGTTACACACACACACACACACACACACACACACACACACAGAGAGAGACAGACAGACAGACACAGAGACAGAGAGATTCTTTCCCAGAACAAATGTTACGAATTCTGATTTCTAGATTCCTGGACTATGAAAATAGAAGTTTTGGGGTTTTTTTAAAAAAAGATCTTCATGTATGGTATTTCTGTCATAGCAACACTAGAAAAAGAAAGTTTTCTAGATGACTGTAGGAAGTGTGAGAATACTAAGTCATGCTTCAGGGGTGACCAGCATTAGTAACACTGACACATGTACTGAGAATGTTACTCCATTCTCAGTTGATTTTCGGTCCCGCTTAAGTCACAGAGATTTGCAAGAATAGCTCAAGAAATAGGTAGATTCTAATTCATTGTAACTCTTTCCTATCAGAGTGGAAGAATACACTGAAACTTTCAAGCAAGCAGTTAAGTTCGCCCAGTCATCACCACGAGGGTGGTACCACCCTCCCGATTACTGCCTTCCTGCCTCCCACTGGCTCAGCCAGTTCTTCCTCTGTACTTTGCAGCTTCAGGAGCCTGGCTGTTAAAGCAAGTCACGGCTGTGAGCACAACAGCCTGGGTCCCATGATGTTCCGCTCATACTCTCCCCTAGACATTCTGGAAATATTCCCTCCCCTGCAGTATTCCCATGATGCCTCTTCAGTCCCCCTACTGTGATATACACTTGACTTTCTCCTAGACATTCCCAAATACTCTCTTCACTCCCTCCTCTGTATTACTCCCATGATGCTCTCCTCAGTCTCTCCCCTGTATTAGTCACATGATACTCACATCATTCCCTCCTGTGTATTATTCCCATGATGCTCTCCTCAATCTCTCTACCGTATTATTCCCATGATACTCACATCCCTCCCTCCCTTGTATTATTCCCTTGATGCTCTCCTCAATTTCTCTCCTTTATTATTCCCATGATGCTCTCCTCAGTCTCCCTCCAGGACATCCCTATGATAATGGGATAGCTTTTACCCTGGACATCCCCATAATACTCTCATCATGCTCCTTTATATTACTCCCATGATGCTCTTCTCACTCGCCCTCCTGGACATTCCCATGACGCACTTCCCTTTGCCCCATGAGTAGTCTCATGGTGCTCTCTCTCTCTCTGTCTCTGTCTCTGTCTCTGTCTCTGTCTCTCTGTCTCTCTCAAGCATGCGTGCTCTCTCTCTCCCCCATGAGACTCTCCACACTCCATCATACCTGCAGGGAACTTGAAATTCACCACTTTGGAGCACTTTTCCAGGTGGTCTACTTGAGCACCCCATGACCCAAATGTCCTCCCCAAACCCTGGATGTACCTTCCACTTCTCCTAACTTACCAATTTCTTCTAACTGCATTCCAGTCAGTCTTGTCCCCTGGGCCCCTTCCTAACCAGACATCTTTCACTCTTCTATCTGCTCACTACTCCTGGAAAGGCAAAGCTGAGACTCCAGCAGAGTCCATTTATCTAAGTCTAGACAAG